GACAGTACCTACCTCATAGGGTTATTAAGGTGGTTAAATGAGTTAATCAGGTACCTATTAAATAACAAGTGCTCATAATTGTCAGTTACTATTATCTACCGTAATACTCCAATGTGAAATTAAGAATAAATCTAAAAAGATTTATGAAAGCTAGTCAGTTTGAGCCCAGCCACCTGAAATAGATTTTATCCATTCAAAATTGCAATAGGCTCCAAAGCAGACATTGAAAATCACTACTAATATAATCACCATCTCCTCTAAGCTTGAAGAGGATGCCTCGAATGTTCACATACATAGTTTTAAAGTTTGGGGAAAAACAGAGACCCTGGTTAGAGACATCCCACCACCACCTCCAGCTCAAACTGAGTTATATTAGGCCTTGAGAAGGCCATAGCTGCACGATACAAGGAGCAAGGACAGAGGCCATGCCTTGGAACACACTCACCTTTCTCACCACAAAGCTTATGTCATGCAGAACCGATTTGGGGCTGCCACTTTGTTCCTCTGGGCCAGCAACTCCCTGGGCTGATGGACTGTACTCCCTATAAGCCTCCAGCCTTTGTCTCTTGAAAAAATGCTTTTTCTGGTTCTGTACTTTCTTCAGGTCACTTTTCCTGCTGGCTTCTTGCTCCCATGTCAAGGTGGCATTTGCTAAAAGCAAGACAGTATCTGGGTCTTCTGGTTTGGTGATGTAAGATGGGGGGCTTTTATCTATGAGAATTGTCTAAGATTAAAGAGACAAAATTAACTGGGAAGATGTCATCCATTTGCAAGAATCATCCCAATATATCTTTTAATGACCCCAAATCACAATCTTGACAATTCTACCTAGGACATCTAGGAAAGAGATTCTGAAATTATTCCCCCAGGAGAAGCTGCAGCAGAAATAGTCCATAGCTCATACTATCTGGGACAAATGCCTCTTTAACTACATGGCCTATGTGGGTCGCCCACATTGGAGAATTCTGGTCACAACTACAATTCACTCTCGTGCTGAAGATGGTCAGCCTTTGCCAGTCTTTGGGTAGTGGACTTCACTGCTTGGTGCTAATGCTTATGCAACCAAGGTCATGTGCTCAGTCTCTGCTGTGTTCTCTTCCTAGGTCCTCACTCAGCTCAGTTCAACAAAACATTTGTGAAGTGCCAGACTCTGGGGTGCACAGCAGAAATGCAAATATAAATAAGGCATGTTCTCTTTCCTTGAAGAGATTATAGTCTGGGGGGAGATGGAAACATGGACAGATTATTTCAGTGAAATGTGATAAGGACAAAGCACTGTACCTGCTGGAGAAGAGGCACATGGATCTCCATCCTGGAGGTCCGTGTGGTTGATGCCTGAGCTGAGTCTGTACAGGTGATGTACAGGCAGAGGTGAGGAAGGGGGGAATGGATGAGAGAATTCTAGCAGAGGGCACAGCATGGGCAAAAGCAAGGAAGCATGCAAATGCATGGTTTGT